ACTTGTAATCCATTCTGTATCTTATCATGATTCCTGTAGGTAAAAGTACAAGACGACCTCTAGATGTCTTTTCTTTCTATGAAAGGAGCTGCTATGTACACATGTGCACACACACACACACACACACACACAACTGGGAATCAACAATGAGTTTATTGTTCATGGTAGATAAAAATTAAGCTTGCATAAAGGTTGGGCTAAGTGGTCCTGGACTACAGACTCTGTTGCCTTGACTATAACAGTACAATTTGTCATTTACTCTGCACCAGGCTAAAATGAGTAAAATCTATTTGAAGGTATCTTGTTTGTAAACATTTGTCAGATTCTAATTTTTTTCTTTTTGTATTAAAATTCAACTATGGATGTATATGAAACAAAATAAATGGAGATAATTTTTCTCCCACAGATGGTGTCTTTGAATGTGCGCTGATGGTTATCTGTAAGCCTTGAGGGGAAAGGGAGGGCTGTAAGGTAACTAAAAGGCAGAAGAATTGAATGGTGCCTGGCTTTCTCCAGGATAGTAGTAGCCCTTCATTTCATAATTCCCAGCCCGTTGTCGTCACATCAAAGAAGAATCTTCAGGGGTGCTAATCCTGTTGCAGCAATTGATCGTACTAATAGAAAAGGTAATGTGACAAAATACACATTGCCTTCATCTGTACATTACATGATACCAGGCAAATTGTCAGTTACAGACAGCTACTTGTATTTTATGAAGGGCATTTTTTAGATGACTTCATCTTTTTGTATTTTTTGTTTGTTGGTTGAGTTGTTTTGGGTTTTTTCCCACATAAGGAAAAGTAGTGTAATCAGTAGGAAAAAAATGGAAACAATGGAGGCAGGTGTATTTTGCATGTTTTTCCTTTCAGTGTTCTAACCTTACACATTGTATTACTGCGTTGTAATCATAGCTTCTATAAGATCTGCCATAGTTGGTTTATGCAGCTTTGCAAAAATTTTACACTAATTCATGTTAGCTTTGTTCTACCAAGTTCTGGAATTTATCTAATTATTGTTTTTAAAAAATTTCCTTCTGTTTAATATCACCCTGCTATGCAAAACCTTTCCCAGACCTTAGTTTCTTAAAAGAAAGACGTTGCTACAGTTCCCAATTCTTTCTTATTACAGGCTCAGGTGTACAGGTTATTCTGGGTTAATTTTATCTAATGAAGCCCATTCCTTTTTGTACATAAAACTGTCACTTAAACCTATGCTTACAGACTAAAGAGACTAATTGCTCAATATGAAAACATGGAAACAAAGCTTTTGCTTAAAATATTAACATGGAAGTAGTCAAATATAGGTTATTTTATCCTTTAAAAAAATTGGTCCTTTTTTAAAAAATGTTACATATTGTATGCACTGTGCTGATGCAAGAATCCTACATTTCAATGAATTATAAAATTATTCTGCATCTCATCACGTCACAGTATTTCTGTACTATTTATTCATATATATAAATATAGATATATATGGGCTTAATCATTTAAAACTTGTTGCAGCAAGAAATTTCCTACCTGTAGGTAATAGATTGCTATGTTTTTAACAGATTGTGGCAAATTCTAAACAGCAATTCTTTTTGTACGTAATAGGACATTTCATCCTAGAAAAATAAAGTAATGTTTTTGACATTGGATTTGGTGCAGTTCCTAATGAAACAATGGTTGGTTGGTTGATATATTTTCTGTAGCTGTTGGCATTGCCAAATTGTACAAAAAAGGTAAATTTTATGGGAATCCTCAGACCAAAAAGATGTTAATTTCATGTGTATTTGATAGTATTTGCAATTTCTATCACCTTATAAATACATAAACACATAGTTTTATCAACTACAGAGCTTTAGTCTTTTAAAAGTAATTTTTGAAAAACATACATTCTTATAACAAAATGAGTTTCAAAAGCTGCTTTTCTATGAGTATTCTTTGACAAGCTTCTGCTATTCAATAAGATATACACATTACAGCTCTTTTGCTTTGAATAATCCAAGTACTAGAGTGCACATTTGGGATAGTTAGGATTTTTCTACCCAGTCTTTGGGCTTGCAAACATATTTAATTTGCATCAATAGATTTCCTTGGCTAAAAGCATTTTTTTTTTTTATAATTTTATTTATTTTTTCCCCCAAAGCCCCAGTAGATAGTTGTATGTCATAGCTGCACATCCTTCTAGTTGCTGTATGTGGGACGCGGCCTCAGCATGGCCGGAGAAGCGGTGCGTCGGTGCGCGCCCGGGATCCGAACCTGGGCCGCCAGCAACGGAGCGCACGCACTTAACCGCTAAGCCACGGGGCCGGCCCCTAAAAGCATTTTCAATGCTTGTTATGCCTCACCTGCCAAGTTCACAATCCTTGAAACCATTTCATAAAAAGCACTTTCATAATATTGGTAAGGCTTTTTTCTCCTGTCCAAATTCTGCAGGATTTGTGTTTTAGTTAATATCCTGCAGTAGGTTTAAAAAAAACTGTGAACTTTCAGAGATACTTTCGAAAGCAAAACAATTACCTTTTTATATTTCAAATGGCCTGGAGTGTTATTTAGAGACACTGAGATTTGCTGTTGTTTGTAATCCACCTTCCTAGACTCCACAAACAAACGTTCTTTCCCTGTCTCTGTTCACTTCGGTCAGGCAGACTCCCTGCATCTTTGTGTGTTTCTGATATTAAAGAGCCAGCCTGCTGATCCTTGAAATCTGCACACTTCACAGTCTGAGCTCGACAGAGCTCGCCATGATTGAGGAGGCCATTGCCTATAAGTCTCTGATTTCCAGTCCTCAAAATGAGAATGGTGGTACCCCATGGGAAAGTAATGTCTTATACGTACTTGGGGGGGAAATAGCCAGCTGAGAATTACTTTTAATAACTTGAAATCTTCTGAGCTACTTCTAGATACCTAAGATACCGAAAAAGACATTTCTTAGAAGCTCACACCCCTCTTGATCCAATTTGGACCAAATTGAACTAAAGAAATAAGCTGCATTTTAAAATGGTAAAGTCCTGTACCTGAAGTTGAGGTTATGCGTTGTAAGCAGCAGGCCAGCTTTTAGCTGTTTGCATATATGTGTGTTTGATCAACCTTACAAATGATTTTAAGAGAAATATAAACAAACAGCGCCAAATGATATCTTTAAAAGACATAAAAAGCTCGGGAAAAAAAAAAGTATGTTTTATAGACCCTTCCCTACCAAAAAGGAAAACAAGTACTTTTTTTTTCCCTTGTATTCTAACAATTTGAAGGAGGGATGCTATTGAGTTACTCTTGAAGGCAACATAGTATTTTACTGGATGAAGGACTATTACGTGTGCACTGTGCACATAGTCCTTTAGTCTCTGGAGCACAAACCCTTGTGCTAAGAAAATTCTATCGGACAGAAGGATGAGGAACTACAATGAATTTGCTAATTAAAATTTTCCATAAAATTAAATATTGTATCCAAGGTACTGACTGAATATTGAAAGATGATTCTTAACCTTTTTCGCCTAACCTGGAATTACCGGTGTGTTCACTGCCTCCTGTGCACACCCCGGCCCACCACTCTTCTGCCTCCTTTGAGCCTCACTCCTCTTTCATTGCAAACCTAGTCTTGAACGATGGCCTTAATTTTAACGAGGCACTTCCTAAAAAGCTGGCCTGCCTGTGTTTGCCAGGGTATATACGCTGTCTGACCTCCAAATACCACAGAGACCACACAGTTCTGGTCCTTTTTGTGTTTCCAAAACTTCTTAGAAACTGAGTATTATCAAATTGGTCTAATTGAACCCCAACCCTCAGGCTTATGTAAAAGTGATTTTTTTTTCTTTTAAACCAGAGCTATTTATAACTCCTCTTTTTTTATTTTTTTTAATTTTTTTATGAGGAAGACCAGCCCTGAGCTAACATCTGATGCCAATCCTCCTCTTTTTGCTGAGGAAGACTGGCCCAGGCTAACATTGTGTCCATCTTCCTCTACTTTATATGGGACGCTGCCACAGCATGGCTTGACAAAGCAGTGCGCCAGTGCGCTCCTGGGATCCGGGCCTGCGAACCCTAGGCCGCTGGAGCAGAGCGCACGCACTTAACCGCTGCGCCACCAGGCCGGCCCCTATAACTCTTCTCTTTATGCTCTAACATCTGACCATCCAAACAGTAATTTTTCTGGTGGGCCATCTTGTTATTTTCCCCACCATGTTACTCAAGATCACCACTTAGCCTTTTGACATTTAAAAATTTGGCTTTGATTTTTGTGACTGGTGCTATCGTACGTCTGAGTTAACTTTTATCTTAAAGAAAACTAACCCAGAAGCTCTTCATTCACTGCATACTCTACTGCCAATAGTTTGTATAATAATGCCGTTGTAATATACCCAAGAAGTAATTATAGTACGATTTTTAGTAAGTTTGGGCAAGACTTATTTTGGGAAAATTCTCTAAAAATCCCTCAGTTAATGCTTTATGACAGAAGAGTCAGAACCTCTCAACTTGTATTTCACCTCTTTGTCCCATTTGGGATAAGTAAGGTAACAGCATCTCCCATCACGATCAGATGTCACGTCTCGTGCTGTTGCTGCTTGCTTCCCCACGAGTCCTGTCCTGGTGTCCTTCAGGGATACAGTGCTTCTGTGCGGCCATTACAGACTGAAGACACAGCTTGACCTCCCTGAGTGCATCTCCTTTGAGACCAAAGGGGCTGTTTTTCTCTCTCTCCAGTGCAGTTCCTTTTTATCTTTCTTGAGGCAGTGATCTTCAACCATGGCTTACCAGTCTCTCTATTCACAGTGTTTCAAGTTAACTGAAGTACAGCTTGGTCTTCTGAAAAAAAATTAATGTCTTTGTGGACTCAAGTATAATGAATACTAAATTTAACTAGTGATTAAACCTTTTTCAAACCAACTGGAAAATGTTTAAAATTCACATGCTTGCAAGCTGTCGTTGAATATTGTCCAGGGTTTTGGAGTAAGTTTGAGGAAGGCTTTTCCCTCAAACTTTGGGGTTCAGTGAGGCTAAAAAAACCAGGTGCATCCAAGATCTGATTTCAAGGCAAGATTTACTGCTTTACAAACACAAACATGATACTTGGTCTTAACAGAAAAATGACATCAGATACACCCAGAATATGTTGAGCATTGGCATAGCTGCCAGTTCAGCACAAAACATATGTTTTTAGGAGCAGACAGGCATGAAAATAAACTATACTTTATATTTTGGTACATGAGGAACACTTGTCTCAGTAATATTTTGCTTGAATTAAGCCCTTGAGCACTCTTTAGGTGTAAAACTTTAATACTTGTCTTGGGCTCTGACCTAGGGTTTGACCTCAATGACATTTCTTACATGTCTCTGACTAGTGCACTTACTGCTATGTACAGATTTTAACGTGATGGTTTGAGTATAAAATTTGGTTTGATACATGATATAAACTACTCAAAGTTGTATATTTAAAATTAAGGAAATGTGTTTTGTGAACTATTTCTACTGAAGAATGTATTTAAATTAAAATAATTAAAAATAAATGATATGAAGCAGTGATCTGTTAACTAGACAGGTCAGTCATCTGAGCTGTGTGAATAACTGGCACAAGAGTTGGATAACTTTGCTGCAGAGCTCAGAAGCATACCATTTAAGAAGCATTTTGTAAATAAGAAAGTGACAACTTCAAGATTAGAGTTGGAACTATGCAACTAGTTCATAAAGGAGCTGTGTCCTATTCTAAAGGAAGACCCCATTACATGAAGACCTTTCCTGTCTTGTTGCGAATTCCAAGTCCCTTATCCAGAAATGGCAAGATGGTACGTTTCAAGTACACTGGGTGTGAACTGCAGCTTGAACTTGCCCATCCCTTTTTCTGTTAAATCTTTTCACATAGCTGCTGCTCCTGAGCAGTCCATCTCCTGGTCGGAGGCGCCCTCTCAGGACCTGGAGCAGAGCTGTAGGGAGCTGCCGTCTCTTATGGTAGATGTGGCCCATCACAATATACCTGCTGCCTGAAAAAACATAACCAAAATTTCAATTCATAGTGTCTTTTAAATGCCATGAAACAATAAGAAAACGTAAGACCTTTAAGAAATGCCTAAGCTTGAATCTATTTTGCTGGATGTGTTGAATCTCAGACATGTAACCCTCAGACAACAGGTCTGAAGCAGTCTAGTGACCTTTATAAGATAAGCAGATAATCAGCCTGTCATTACAGAACAAACGTCCTAATCACAATGCACCAGCAGGATTTTCCAGAGCGTATCTCTAGAAAGACGTTGGAGTGGGTATTCTCTTCGCCCCAAAAAAAGACTTCTAAACTCAGTTTAAATAGAGCCCCTTATACATCCCTTCTGGCAACGGTGTTTCGTCATTCACTCAACTTGTCAGCAAATATTTATTGGGTGCCCTCTTTGTGCCAATCCACGCTGTTCCCACCTTTAACTGGAGGTGTGGCAGGGGGGAGGTTGATGAAGCTTAAATCACAGAGTGGCCGAAATATTACCTGTCGTCTAAATTCTTTTCATTTTAGAATGCCCCTCCCCCCCAAAAAAGGTATTGGGGTGACCAACAAAGACCGAGCTGTGGCATCCAAGTTACAAATGATAGCATCAAGTACAAATATGAAGTGGTCAGGTCAGTTTCAATACCAGGTTTAAATTCTGGACATGGCTTATTGCAACTTGAGGAGTCTAGGGCTAATATGTGGACTCGGAAGAAAAACCCGTCCGGAGTGATGTACAGGCGGTTCATCTTGTACATCCCGTCCCGGTCCACCAGCAGAGTCACCAGCCGGATCCCCGTGCCGAGCACGTCCACATCATGCACGATTCCGTTCACTGCTGCTTTCAAAAAACAAAGAGTTTGGAGAAATGCATAACGCTCATTTCCTCTTTCCTTCCCTAGTGCGTTTTGAACAAATCACGACCGAGTCCACACGGGTCTGGGGCCCGCGGGATCGAGCGGGTGGGTTTCTGTAGGGTTTGGCTTAGGGTGTCCGCGCGCACGACCCGGCGCTCTCGGCTCGGAGAGGCTCGCCTTGCGGCCTGGGCTCTGCGGGCCGGGCCCGGGAGGAGCTGCGGGGCGGGGCTCACCGAATTCGCTCGCGCAGTAGGACTCACGCTCGTCCAGGTCCGCCCTGCAGGCGCGCGCGCAGGGCTCGGCGCCGGGCTCCGCGTCCCTGGGCGGCGGGCTGAGGTGCGG